AATTTTAGACAAACATGACATTTATGCATTTTTGGATTTTGTGCCTTTTTTCAATCTCTCAAAAATAAAATTAATAATCTATACTGTGTCCTTAAATATCTCTCTAATTATATGATCCTATGCATGTATATGTACATGTACATTATCTGTACATATACATGCAAGGGTTATTCATTTTGTTATTGTTGGTTTTACAAGAATGGAGTACCATATACATTATTCTTTTTTTTTTTTAGATTTTATTTATTTATTTGACAGAGACAGACACAGCGAAAGAGGGAAAAGAAGCAGGGGGAGTGGGAGAGGGAGAAGCAGGCTTCCCGCAGAGCAGGGAGCCCGATGCGGGGCTTGATCCCAGGACCCTGGGATCATGACCTGAGCCTAAGGCAAATGCTTAATGACTGAGCCACCCAGGCGCCCCTACATTATTCTTATTTTTGCTCAACAAAATCCCCATGGAAATCCTTTCTATTCATCTGGTGTAAGTCTAATTCATAATTTTAAATCACTTCAAATTATTCCACAGGGTAAATATACCATAGTGTATTGAGTGATATCAGTACTGACAGAACGTTAACTTCGTACCTAATTTTTAGCCACAAAAAACAATGATGCAGTAAGCATTTTTTTAATTTATGTCTTTATGTACTAGTGCTTTCATTTCTTTGGGATAAATTGCCAGAAAAGGAATTTCATAAAAGGAAATGTATATTTTTAATTTTAATATAGGGTGCCAGATTCTTTTCTAAAAAATTTCTATTAGCAATAAGAAACAGCAAAATATATAAACTCTTCTAAAATTTTTGCCAGTTTATGAGTATAATGTTTCAGTTTAATTTTGTATAGCAAAATTAAATCCTTATACTTAGAAAAGTTCAACCTTTGTACTTTAAGCTTACCTTTCCTAATAAAGTACTATTTAAAATTTATCAAATAATATGCTACAGAAATTTTCTAATCTATCTACTATTCTAGAGGGTCTTCTGACAGGAAAGAACTTCCCACATGTGCTTCATAGGCCCCGTATCAGAACTGATTATTGGCAGCCCCAGGATGGCTACCAAATCATTTCAACAAAGGCAATGAGAAGGATTCTAAGAACATAAAGTTAATAATCTTCCTCTTGGCCAGTGTGGTCACAAGTAGCATTTCAGTATTGATTCATATAATCATTTCAACCCATACAATATAGCAGCTTCTAAGAATATAAAGATATTTTAAATCCTTTCAGTGTGGCAATCTATGGGACTGGCAACCTGAAGCAAAATGGGTATTTGGCATATGGGTCAGCCTGTGTGCTTGGTGTCACCAGTACAAAATGTGTACATAAGAGATGATGATAATAAGAAAAATAAAAACTGAAAATTCCCTGATACATAGCATCAAAAAGAATAAAATACTTAGGAATAAATTTAACCTAGGAGGCAAAAGATTTATATGCTGAAAGAAATTAAAGATAGCAACAAATAGAAAAACATCCCATGTTCAAGGATTAGATGACTTAATATTAGACATCAATACTACCCAAAGTGACCAATAGCTTCAACACAATCCCTGTCAAAATTCCAAAAATATTTTTGTATAAAATAGAAAAATCCACCGTAAAATTCACATGGAATCTCAAAGGACCCCAAAGAGCCAAAATAATCTTGAAAAAGAAGAACAAAGTTGGCGGTCTCATATTTCCTAATTTCAAAATTTACTGCAAGGCTACAATAATCAAAAAAGTATGCTACTGGCAATAGAGACAGACATAAAGACCAATAGAAAAGAACAGAGAACCCAGAAATTAATCCTAACTATATGGTCAAATGATTTTTGACAGGGATGCCAAGACGACTCAATGGGGGAAAGAACAATTTTCTCAACAAATGGTAATGGGAAAACTAGATAATACACATGCAAAAGAATGAAGTTGGACCTTTAACTTTCAAGTTTGAAAATTTCTATTATTAATAAAAAACAGTCTTGAACAAGAGGTAAAACGTCTATTATAACAAACTAGTGGATTGGTGATGAAGGCCTAGAGTAAATGTGTGGCAGCAAGGCTTCATAATTAATGACTGTCTGTATGTAATATATGAAAAAGGAAGAATCTAGAAGGACTCTTAAATTTATGGCTGATTAAATAGATTCCATTCAATGGATCAGAGAATGGAGATCAATTCATAAACCTGAGGCATGTGTAGAATATTTTGGAAAAAGTAGAGATATATATAAGTATGACATTGCAGAAAGTCTGGCCTGGATACACAGATTTGGAAGTAGTCATGAAAATTGTGTCCTCCTGGGACGCCTGGGTGGCTCTGTCGGTTATGCGCCTGCCTTCGGCTCAGGTCATGATCCCAGGGTCCTGGGATCGAGTCCCGCATCGGGCTCCTTGCTCAGTGGGGAGCCTGCTTTTCCCTCTGCCTGCCGCTCCCCCTGTGTTTTCTCATTCCCTCTCTAAAGATAAATAAATCTTTAAAAAAAAAAGAAAAAATTGTGCCCTCCTATCCACCCAAATTCATATTTTGAAGTTCTAATCCCCAGCACCTCAGAATGTGCATATATTTGGAACTGGGTCCTTAAAGATGTGATTAAGTTAAAATGAGGTCATTAGGATGGGCCCTACTCCATTATGACTGGTGACTTCTTACAAGGAGATCAGTAAATGGATGGGTGACTATGTGAAGACGAAGGGGGAAGATGGCAAGGTATAAGACAAGAGAGGCTTCTGAAGAAACCAACCTTGTGAACACCTTGATCGTGAACTTCTAGCCTCCAGAATTATGAAAAAATTAATTTGTGTTGTTTAAGCAACCCCAGTCCATGGTACTTTATAGCAGCCCTAGCAAACTGATATAGAAGTTATTAATGCAGATATAATATATAAAAACAAAAGCAGAAAATATAATGCTAGAATAGCATATAGAGTAGGAAGCAAAAATTGCTGAGCACAGTCCTCTAGAGAACAGCAAATTTTAACAGCATAGTATGAGCAGCCTTTGAGATGCTAAATATAATCCTAAGGAGGCAACAGGATATATAGTTTAATGCAAATTAAAGTAACAACTGTGTATATATACATATATATATATATATATATGTATATATACACCTACGAGAAATACTAAAATTTAAAAAAAACTACCACGTGATGGTGAAGGTGTGGAACAGTGGTGGGGATGAATATAGTAAGTAAGATCAAGAATGCAGATGAAATTGTCTAGACAGAGAATGAATAGAAGAATCCCAACACTTAGGATTAGAGAGCAATAAATCTACAAAGGAGACTAAAATGGGAACTGGGGGGAACTAAAGGAAAGGAGGCAACTGGGCAGGAGAAAAGAGAAAGGAAATGTTACGGGTGCCTGGGTGGCTCAGTTGTTAAGCGTCTGCCTTCGGCTCAGGTCATGATCCCAGGGTCCTGGGATTGAGTCCCACATCAGGCTCCCTGCTTGGCCGGAAACCTGCTTCTCCCTCTCCCACTCCCCCTGCTTGTGTTCCTGCTCTTGCTATCTCTCTCTCTGTCAAATAAAAAAATAAAATATTTTTTAAAAAAAAGAAGAAAAAGAAGGGAAATATTAAAAGAAAGAATTACAGTCCATATAAAATACCAAATACACACATATATATGGCACAGAAAAAGTAAGCTTTCATAATAGAAAAGTATCTCCTAGCTGGGTATTTTAAGTACAGATTTTTAAGCCATTTTCTATTTCTTGACAAAAGACAAATATATAGCTGGACCCCATTGGACAAGTCAAGAGGCAACATACAATCTATGTAGTCCCTATGTAAATAAGTATCTAAAATAACTTTTCTCCTCTACTAGGTAAGTTTTTCTTTTCTTTTTTTTAAAGATTTTATTTATTTGAGAGAGAGAGAGAGAGCACAATCAGGGGGGTAAGAGGCAGAGGGAAGGGGAAAAGCAGACTCTCCTGCTGAGCCAGGGAGCTGATGCAGGGCTCCATCCCAGGACCCTGGGATCATGACCTGAGCCAAAGGAAGACCCTCAACCGACTGAGTCACCCAGGCACCTTCCATTAGGTAAGTTTCATTCATTAAGACACAATTTACCGTTTCTACTGAGCGGGTAAGACAGTGTCTGTAAGGATCAAATGATGGATATAATAAGGTCTCCATAATTTAAGATTATTATAATGTCACATAAACATTCATCTATAATAATAAAATAAGCACAAAATAATATATATATAAATGAAAGAAAAATTTAGGCAATTTCAACAAGGCTAAATGGATCTTGTATTCTTGTAATCATTAAATTAATTTGCCACTAATTTGTTTACAAAAATATAAATCTGAAAATAAGAACCTTACTTCCAGGACTTTCTTTCTGCCATTGATTGAGTTCAGCAGTCAAACATTTCGCTTGCATAATTAATAATGACAGCTATAAAAAAAAAAAGCAAGAGTATAAAACAAAGTCATTTTTTACAGAATATTCATAGATATTCATAGATGGAAGTGTAGACATTCTTAATATACTTTAACACAAGTTCCTAACATAAATAGCTAACATAATAGCATCCAAAGTATAAAAAATTATCACTTCAAACAGAATTCTGCTTTAAACCATTATTATAGCTCATAAATTGCCTATACCAGTGATATAGTCTTAAAAAAATGATCAATTCTACCTTACCACTCAACCTAAAATAAAAGGACCTAAGTATATTTCTTTTATTCACTAAATTAATATTACTTTAAAAATATAGGAGTATCTGGCTAGCTCAGTCAGTGGAGCATGTGACTCTTGATCTTGGGAATGTGAGTTCAAACCCCACATTAGGTGTAAAGATTACTCAAAAATAAAATCTTTAAAATCATAAGATGTTAGGGGCGCCTGGGTGGCTCAGCTGGTTGAGCGACTGCCTTCGGCTCAGGTCATGATCCTGGAGTCCCGGGATCGAGTCCCGCATCGGGCTCCCTGCTCAGCAGGGAGTCTGCTTCTCCCTCTGACCCTCTTCCCTCTCGTGCTCTCTATCTCTCATTCTCTCTCTCTCAAATAAATAAATAAAATCTTTAAAAATAAATAAATAAATAAAAATAAAAACATAAGATGTTATTTCTTGCCAACAGTTTTTAGACAAATTTGCTTTAGGGGAGCCTGGGTAGCGCTGTTAGTAGAGCATGAAACTCTTGATCTTGGGATCATGAGTTTGAACCCTACAGTGTGAGTACAGTTTACTTTAAAAGACAAATTTAGGGGTGCCTGGGTGGCTCAGTCGTTAAGCGTCTGTCTTCAGCTCAGGTCATGATCCCAGGGTCATGGGATCGAGTCCCGCAACAGGCTCCCTGCTCTGCGGGAAGCCTGCTTCTCCCTCTCCCACTCCCCCTGCTTGTGTTCCCTCTCTCACTGTGTCTCTCTCTGTCAGATAAATAAAATCTTTAAAAAAAAAGACAAATTTACTTTTAGGATACTCTTTTTTTTCTCTATGCACTTTCAGAAAAATAGCAACTGCTTTTAGCTGGGCTGCTAGAAATAAATTTAAATACAAACATAGAGGGGCACCTGGCTGGCTCAGGCAGTAGAGCATGCACTCTTGATCTCGGGTTGTGAGTTCAAGCTCCACATTAAGCAGAGATTACTTAATTAAAAAAAATTTTAAATACACATATAGAGACAATTATAAAATGAGTGCTTCCACAGGCTACTTATAAAAACCAATACACAACAGTTTAAGATGACATGTTTCTGATATTAAGTGGCTCCAACCATTGTAATTTTGATAATTACATATCTGTGATAAATCTGATGCCTGATTAGATTATTAAATTGAAGTCTATGTATGCTTAAAGTTAAATTTCAGAACATTTTTTATCACCTCTATATAATTCTTATTGGTAATCAGATTAAAAAAATGCAATGGGTATTACTGAAATATTTACACTAAAAGAACAAGTACTGTCTTTTTAACCATTTTTTTAAAAGATTTTATTTATTTATTTATTTTTATTTATTTATTTGAGAGAGCGCGCATGCACACAAGCTGGAGAAGCAGAGGGAGAGAGACAAGCAGACTCCCAGCTGAGCACGGAGCCCGATGTGGGGCTCAATTCCACCATCCTGAGATCATGATCTGAGCCGAAATCAAGAGTCAGATGCTTAATCAACTGAGCCACCCAGGTGCCCCTTAACCAATTTTTATGATACAGAGTAGGTGGTTCAGAGACCCTGCTCTGTATCAAAACACTATTGAATAGTCAAGAGGAAGAAAACCTAGTATATTTGAAAGCTTTATATAATTACATAAAAATTCATTTGCAGGTTTTAAAATTTTTACCAAAGGGAGTTTAACATTATTTTCTTATAATTTCTTATAAATATGTATCTAAAGTAGGCAAAACTATCATAATGATAAGGAATTGGTATCACTTTTCCTGCACATATTAGGTTGAAATGCATCAAATAACCAACATTCATTTTTTAACTTTAAAAAAAAAGCAATTTCATACAGTTCAACTTTGTACTATGTTGATGAAGTACAGCTCTTACCTTCCCAAAGCCCAGCTAAGGCAAACACTCAAATTATTTCTGACCTTGCCATAAAATTAAACAATACTTTCTAAAAAACAACAGCAATATTTCTAAAGTGATTTATATGAAATTTGAGAATCCCTTCCATTTTCTAATTTAAAATATCTAACTTCTTTCTTTAAAAATGGATTGAGTTTTAACACTGAAATTTTCAAGTTAATAGGTATGCAAAAAAGAGTAACCAAAGCAAGCCCGAGATCATTTAAAGGACTGCTTTCAAGGTTGGCCCTTCACTGGCATCTGGGAACTTGTATTTTGAGATGGTTCCCACCAAAACCTATTAAGAGTGGCTGATTGTGCCTTAACTGTTTTTACAAAGAATATGACTTAAGCTTAACACCTGCTTTCCTTCTGAAATTCTTGTATTTTGATAACTGCTACCCAGAGGGTGCCTATGTGACTAGCTCCCACAAAACACCTTGGTCATTGAATCTCTAATGAGGTTCCCTGGTAGAAAACATTTCACACTGTCACAACTCCTTCAGGGAATTAAGCACATATTATATGATTCTTTTTTTTTTTTTTTTAAATTTTATTTATTTGACAGAGAGAGACACAGCGAGAGAGGGAATACAAGCAGTGGGAGTGGGAGAGGGAGAAGCAGGCTTCCCGCAGAGCAGGGAGCCCGATGCGGGACTCGATCCCAGGACCTGGAATCATGACCTGAGCCGGGGGCAGACGCCTAACGACTGAGCCACCCAGGCGCCCCACATTATATGATTCTGATAAGAGAAGACTCCTGAAAGCTCGTGTCTGGTATCCTGTGGACTTTACCCCATGGTCCTTTTCCCTTTGCTGATTTTAGTCTGCATCCTTTTAATGTAATATATCTTAGCCATGAATATAACTATACACTAAGCCTTGTGAGTCCTCCTGTGAGTTACTGTGAGTCTTGTGAATTACTCCTGCGAGTAATCTTGGGGACTCTCAACACAATAGGAAAAGATATTTTGTGGATCCCTAGACAATGTTCTTATTGACTATCTCAGGATAGATTCTTTACAACTGTATAAGCACTTCCACCAAAGCCAGTTGTTTGTTTGGCTCATTGCATGACAATCATTCAGGAAATGTAGTGGCCCAGTCCCTAGTGATTCTTTTTTTTGGGGGGGGGAGGATTTAATAAATGTACTTCTTCAATTACTATTTATAGCACCTAGTATTCCTTTTTTTAAATTATGCAGTTATTTTATTATTTTTTCTACTTTGAGATTTTTTTTATTTAAATTCAATTAACATATATTATTGGTTACAGAGGTATAGGTCAGTGACTCATCAGTCTTCTATAATACCCAGTGCTCATTACATCATGTGCCCTCCTTAATGTCCATCACCCAATTACCCCATCCCCCACCCCACCCCTACCAGCAACCCTCAGTTTGTTTCCTATGATTAAGAGTCTCTTATGGTTTGTCTCCCTCTCTGATTTCGTCGTTTTATTTTTTTTCCTCTCTTCCCCTATGATCCTCTGTTGTGTTTCTTAAATTCCACATATGAGTGAGATCCTATGATAATTGTCTTTCTCTGATTGACTTATTTTGCTTAGCATAACACCCTCTAGTTCCATCCACGTCATTGCAAATGGCAAAATTTCATTTTTTTTTTGATGGTTGAGTATTCCATTGTGTATATATATATATATATACCATGTCTTCTTTACCCATTCATCTGTCAATGGACATCTAAGCTCTTTCCATAGTTTGGCTATTGTGGACATTGCTGCTATAAACATTGGCATGCAGGTGCCCCTTCAGATCACTACATTTGTATCTTTGGGGTAAATACACAGTAGTGCAATTCCTGGGACATTTTCAACCTATTGAAAGGTAGCTCTATTTTCAACCTTTTGAGGAAACTCCATACATGTCTTCCAAAGTGGCTGCATCAGCTTGCTAGTGACTCTGATTCAGTAGGTCTGTTTCTACAATATGAAAACCACATTTCCCAAGAAAACCAGATGACAGTTTATTTACTATATAATGCTGTTTCAAATACAATATTCAGTTTTACCCGGTACAAGAGAACTCTATATTTATTGATAGATGCAAATTTTTTAAAAGATGGCTTAATTCTTTATCAGTAATTTTTAAAGATTTGATATAATAGGTACTACCAAAAGTGACTAGTTTTTCCCTTCTTTTTCTATCTCTCATTCTCATTTTTATTCAGTATTGTTATGCTCATAGATTTTCATTTTTTCATATTGTTATAACCAATCAAGGCCATTATTCCTTTTCATGCTCAAATGATATCAAATTTGTGTCTTTTTGAAGCAGTGCCTCAATCTTTATTTTTCATAACCAACATTTTTTTCAAAATAGACAGTTTTACACTGAATAGCACAAAAGTAAACTTAAATTACCAAGAGTTTACATGTAAGCTTGATTCCAGTCTCAATGAAAAGAAGTAGAATAAAAACCAAAATCCCTCAGGAAAGCTTCCATACTATATCCCACTCCATGAACTGATGACTGCTGGCTCTGCTTCACTTGTCTGCTGCTCTCCATGTAATAGGCCATGAAGGACACGAACCCGCAACTGCAGCTTGCTGGCAGCAGACACAAGCATACACCTTCCTCACCTGCTGCCCTTGTAACAAACTGAACCAGTTTTTAAATGTAAACCTCATGATTTTGAACTCAGGAGTACTTCAATTGGTTCTTATATCTTCTGACATGCTAATACCAGTTTTAGAGAACTTTCTTTAGAATCATTCATATATTTGACTTTGTTCTTAAAATTAACACTAAAACATTTTTAATTTTTCATATGGTCAAATATATCTAGTTTTCTTCTATAATATCTAGGTTTCTACTATTAGCCAAGAAGTTTGTCCTATCCCTAAACTGCACAAATAGTCTCCTAACTTTTCTTGTAAGATTTTTATGGCAATCCATCCAGAATATATGTTTATATAATGAAAGACAGAGGTCCAATTTTATTTTCTCCCACATGGAAAACTAGTTGTACCACTATCATTTATTAACTAATTCATCCTTTTCCCACAAACTGGAACTACCATCTTTGTCATATTTTAAAAAATTTTTAATCTGTTGCACTGATCCATTGGTATATTCTTAAACTAATTCCACAGGTCCTTGATTATTAAAATGGATATCTTAATCCTTTATTTAAACATACAGTAAAATAAGTTAAGGTTCCACACATATAGTAAAAAAAAAACTGGCTACTATACCTAAGACAAAGTAGGACAGTATGTGTTCAAATTTTTAACAAGGTATCTTAATTGCAGTTTTTCACTCAACAGTTAAACATGTTTAACTGTTAAAAGCTAGAGAAAATATTTATAATAGTTTATTCAAAGAAGTATTTAGAATACTTCTCTTAAATCAGGAAGAGTAGAGACTTTTCCAAGTGATTAAGCATACAGGTAACAACAAAGCTATTATGTGGGTTTAATACAGATGAATAATATTCTTATCCAAAACAAAATGAATTAAATTTATCTATTTTTAGGAAGAAAAAAAAGGATTCATACCTGAGCATTTGAATCAGTGAGTGTCTCAGTTCCAACAAGTGATAATTTTTTCTGACACTTGATTTAAAAAGTAATAAAAACAAAACAAAAAGCAAAACAAAAAAAGTAAATAAGTCACACACTATAAGCTTTTATATATAACAGACAATTCCCTTTCCATGTAATATTCCTTTAAAATAATAAATACAAATAACTGATGTAAAAGAAGAGTTTATATTCCTCACTTCCTAAGCAAGAAGATCAGGAAGGCTCCCAAACAGGTCCTGAGGTGAACACACCAAAAGTAGAAGGGGATACTAGATTCTATATAGAACGAAAAAATGAGCATACGAAATAAAGAAAGAGAAAATATAAACTAATAGCTAGGGTGAATTAGAAGCTAGATAATGGAAAAATAGGAAATAAGAGAATAAGAAGGAAAGCACTATAGAAAAATAACAAAAGAGGTAAAAAGATAGTTAAGATCATAAGAAAATAAAGCCTTCAGGAGACATTGTTTCTATTCCATTTTAAAAAACCCACAACCATACAATGAATCATGGAACACTACATCAAAAACTAATGATGTAATGTATGGTGATTAACATAACAATAAAAATTATTTTAAAAAACCCACAACCATTAATAGTGATTACATCTGACTGAAAATATGGGTAATTTAAATTTTACTATGTGTTTACTTCTGGTAGCAGTTATCTTTTTACAAAAAAAAAAAAATTTAAAAAAAAAATTTTTTTTTTTAAAGATATATTTATTTGAGAGAGAGCAGGGGCAGGGAGAGGGGCAGAAGGAGAGGGGAGAAAGAATCCCAAGCAGACTCCATGCTGAGCTCGGAACCCAACATGGGGCTTGATCCCGGGACCCTGAGATCACCACCTGAACCAAAACCAAGAGTTGGATGCTTAACCGACTACACAACCTAGGTGCCCCCCAAAATTCGTTATTTTTAAATTCCAACTTCTATACTGAAAAAATACCAAAATGAAAAAAACAATTATATAATCTTGAAAATACACTAATCATACAGAGTACCAAGGATTTATATTAAAAAATAATTTTAGGGGCACCTGAGTGGCTCAGTCAGTTGAGCATCTGTCTTTGGCCCAGGTAATGATCTCAGGGTCCTGGGATACAGCCCCACATTGGGCTCCCTACTCAGTGGGGAGCCTGTTTCTCCCTCTCTCTCTGCCCCTCCCTGCAGTTTGTGCTCTCTCTCTCTCAAGCAAATAAATAAAATATTTAAAAAAAAATTTTTTTTAAAGAAAAAAAGAAAACAAATAACCTGCCCTAATCTCAAATTTTACTGCAAAGAATGGGATGCAAAGTCTGTGGCCTGTATCATATACTATGCTATTTTAAGTACAAAAAACTTTCACCAGCATACTGTAGTTTACCAGAAGTGATTCTATCTCACTAATTCAGAAAATGTACATAAATTTCAAAGACAACATTTTCTAAATTAATTCATATTTTCACTCAAACTCCATAATTATGTGTTCCCTCCATTATTCTCCATCTTAGGAAACGAACCTCACCAAGGTTGGCCCAAACGAGAAACCTGAAAATATCCATAATTTTCCTCCATTTCACAACAATTACGTTCCAAATCCTTTTTGGTCCTCCTTAGTATCTCTTAAATCCTACTATTTGCAATGATGGGATTTAGCCCTACAGTACTTTTTTTTTTTAAGTTTTATTTATTTATTTGACAGAGAGAGACACAGTGAGAGAGGGAACACAAGCAGGGGGAGTGGGAGAGGGAGAAGCAGGCTTTCCGCTGAGCAGAGAGCCCAATGTAGGGCTCAATCCCAGGACCCTGAGATCATGACCTGAGCTGAAGGCAGACACTTAACTTACTGAGCCACCCAGGTGCCCCCTTACAGTACTTCTTACCAGAACTAGTACTAGAGCCTCCTAAATGCTCTACCTGTAGTCTCAGTCTTCTATATTTCATTTTCTTCAAAACTACCAAGTAATTTTCCCAAACTGCATCTCATGTCACTTCATGTTTATAATCTTTTAATGGCTCGCCATACTATAAACTTGACAAAATCCTCAATGTTCTTGCTCCTAATTAACTTTCCAGCCTTACTCCACAGGTCCTTCTTCTAATTTACTAAGTCATAATATTCTACCTAGAGTTCTCTAAACTCTCCCAATGTTTATATATTTTGTTTCTTCTGCTTTGTGTAACTCTCCTACTTTCAGAGGCTACTTCCTATTTATTCTTTAGAAATGAATTCAGTTATTACTTGCTTTTTATTTTTTTTTTTTAGAGGTGGGGGGAGGGGCCGAAGGAGAGGGAGAGAGAGAATCTTAAGCAGGCTCCACACCCAGCACAGAGCCCGATGTGGGGCCCGATCTCAGAACCCTGAGATCATGACCCAAGCCAAAAGCAAGAGTCGGACACTTAACCGACTGAGACACCCTAGGTGCCCCTAGTTATTACTGTTTTTAGAAAGCTATACTTGACCCTTTCAATCTAGGTTTACTATTCATCCTAAGTTGTCTTTGCATTTCTACCACAGTATTTCTAATACAATGGCTACTGCCTCTATTAGATGATAACCTCCTATGGCAGGGACAGCCATAATTTTTTCTCTTTCTATAGCTCATCTGGCATAAAGAATCTTGAATAAATGCTTATAGGTCTAAAAGCCATACAAATATTTATTGTATAATATAATGGCTTCCAGGAACCAACATAATTATTTTCCATAGTCTATTATTGAAATGGAATTAAATCTTATAGTAATTAATATATATATCACTTTTACTTCTTGGTACTTACTTCTTCCATATCTTTCCACATTTCTTCACATTCTTTAATAAGTTCTTCTTCAGCATTTGTAACATCTTCCATATCTGTAGTACTGTCTGGATCTAGATCTTGCTGATTCACTGACATGTGCCTTGTAATAATTAGCCTTATAAGAAAAACTGAAGTAAAAAATATTTATTCACTTAACAATATCTGTTGAACACCTATCACCTGCCAGGTACTCATCTAGGAACTATACATGTGAACAGTGAACAAAATGGGCAAAAATCTCTATCGTGTATCAAATAATTTATACATGGAAATAATAACTTTTTAAAAATATTTATTTATTTGAGAGAGACAGAGAGAGAGCAAGAGAGAGAGCACATGCTAGCAGGGGGAGGGGCAGAGGAAGAGGGAGAGAGAGAATCCTCAAGCAGACTCCCCACTGAGCGAGGAGCCCAAGTGGGGCTCCATCTCAGGACCCTGAGATCATGAGCTAAGCCGAAATCAAGAGTGGGACGCTTAACCAAGTGAGCCATCCAGGCACCCCAATATAAGTGGAAATAATAATAATTTTATGGAGGAAAGCAAGACAGGGAAGAAAACAGGAAGTGCTTAGGCAGAGGTAATGTAATTTTACACATAATGTGGTCATTTAAGGTCATTGAGAAGCTGACAACTGAGCAAAAACATGAAGGAGATAAGGAAGTGAAACAGGGGGCGCTTGGGTGGCTCAGTTGGTTGAGCGACTGGCTTCGGCTCGGGTCATGATCCTGGAGTCCCGGGATCGAGTCCCACATCGGGCTCCCTGCTCAGCGGGGAGTCTGCTTCTCCCTCTGACCCTCTCCTCTCTCGTGCTCTCTCTCTCTCATTCTCTCTCTCATAAATCAATGAATAAATCTTTAAAAAAAAAAAAGGAAGTGAGACAGGGATATTTAGAGTAAGAGGTTCCAGTCAGGGAACTGCCAATGCAAAGACCCTAGGGCAGGAAATATGACTGCCATGTCCTAGAGCAGTAAAGCAGCCAGTGTGATTGGAGGAAATTAAGGCAAAGAACACAAGATGGGGTCAGAGAGATTACAGGGATGAAATCATGTGGGCTTTGTAGGCCATTTTAAGGACTTAAGCTGAGATGATAAACAATTAGAGGGTTTTCAAGAAGAGAATGACATAATTTGAATTATATTTTAACAGTACAACTCTGGTTAACAATAGCCAGTAAGGTAAGAAGCAGAAAAACCAGTTAGAAAGCTATTGCAATGATCCAAGAAATTTTTTATTATTAAAAAAGTTTAGGCCTAAGCAATTGGAAAGATGGAGCTACCAGCTGATTACTGATATGAAGAAGTCAGTGGAGGAAACAGATTCAGCAAGATATGGGGGAGTGATAATTAAGAATTCAATTTCAAACTTGCTAAATTTAAGGTGTCTATTAGTACAGATGCTGATTAAGCAACTGAATGTACAGTATGGAGTTCAAGGGGCAGTTTCAAGCTAGAATTTGAGTCATCACCATATAAGATATTTAAAGCCGTGAGACTGGGTGAGATCACAAAAGCAAGAGTGTACAGGCAGAAATGACAAGAGTTCCAGACCTGGAGAGAATGAGGAAGAACCACCAAAAGAGTCTAAAAAGCACCAATAAGGTAAGAGGAAAATTAAGAGTATGAAATCCTGAAATTCAAAATACAAAAGTATTAAAGGAAGGAGTGATGAATTATCAAATTATCAAATGCGAGAAAGGTCAAATAAGCTAAAAACAGAAATGACAATTTATTTAGCAACATGGGTAGAGGACTGTATTTTCCATAAACAGTCACAGCAATATTTCAGGTTATCATTCCCTATTCAGAGGCAGAGTCTTTTTATCCTCCCCATGAACCTGACTATGACTTTCTGACTGTCTTTATGAATAGAAGTCACTATGGAAGTGACTTCCAAGACCAAGTCATAAAAAGCAATACCAGTAATAGCTCTGTCTCAGAACACTATCTCTTACAAAGCTATCCTAACACTATCCTACCATGCTGTGAGGAAGCCCAAACTGGCACAAATGAAGAGACCAATGGTGAAGCCCTCATAGAAAGGAACCAAGGTTCCCAGCCAAAAGCTAGCATCAGCCATTAGACATGCACATGGACATTCTCATGATTCAGCCCTCAGACTTTTGAGTCTTCTAGACAAGGGCCTGGACATTGTGGAACAGAGACAAGCTGTCCTGCTGCATCCTGTCATGAATTCTTGACGCGAAGAATTGCTGAGCATAGTAAATGGTTGTTTAACACCTCTAAGTCTTAGGATAATTTGTCACAATAATTTCAGTGCAATAAATACACAGAACTGGAGGCCTTCGTAAGAGTAGTTTCAATAGAGAGGTGGCCGGGTGGCTCATCCGGTTGAGCATCTGACCCTTGATTTCAGCTCAGGTTATGATCTCAGGGTCGTGAGATCGAGCCCCACATGGGGCTCCATGCTCAGCGGGGAGTCCATGTGAGATTCTCTCTCTGCCTCTCCCCGCTGCTCATTCACATGCGCTCTCTCTCTCTCTAAAATAAATAAACAAATCTTCGGGGTAAAAGAAAGGAGAAAATAGAGCACCTTTAACAACACAGAAGGAAATACTGTAGGAGTTGCAGGAGAGAAAGAAGAATGGGACTTAATACACATGTAGAGAGGTTGATTTAAGAATGAAGTATATATAGTTCATTTTAATGGAAGGGTAGGCAGAATATTAGGGGCATAGATGCAGGTACATTAGTAGATGTGGTGATAGGATCTTATGGCAGTTCTATTTGGACTGCTTCTCTTTTCTTAGGGAAATGGTAACTAAGGTCATCAGCTGTGAATGCGAATGGGGAAAAGCACTGAAGATTTAAGAAACACATTAAGAAATGTATAAAAGAGATATATAAGAGAATGGGATAGGATAAAGTAGTAGAATAACTGGATAGCATTAAATGCCCACTTGAGATTATTAGTTATCAATTTAAAGTGAAACTAAAACATGGTTATGTTTTCTTCTATAATGTAGCAGCACACACACACAAAAAATGTAGCAGCACAGGTGCAGACAAAGACAAAGTGAGAGAATGACAGTCTTTCAGGTATGACCACAGGAATGAGTAACTACTCTAAGATGGAGAATATAATCAATAGAGGAAAAGAGGTCAAGAAAAAGAGAAGCCATAGATGGATATTAAAATCACCATGAAGTATGACAGTAGTGCTGCAGAGGGTTGCAGTGAGCAAGAAGCTAAAAATCTTCAAGAAACGAAGGAGCATTATATAATCTTGCTAGATAACCACTGCAAGGAGTGGTAGGTGGTGGAGCCTGATGGCATGAAATTCAAAGGTGGGACAATTTTAAGGAAGTAGACAGAAGAAAAAAGAATAATAAAGATGTCTATCCCACAATACCAAATACAAATCAGAATAACCCACTCCCCCGAAATACTAATTTTATGGAACTTAAGTTTTATATTGTTTAATCAAACTTATCAACAGAGAGGTTTTAAAGAAACTTAGGGAGATACATCATGTTCACAGATCGAAGAACTCAATACTGTGAAGATGTTAATTCCCCCAAGTTGATCTATTAAATCTTAATCAAAGTTTTTGTTTGTATTTGGGGCATGTGACAAGCAAATTCTGAAGTTTATGGTAAGGCAAGGGACCAAAAACAGCCAAGACCATCATGAAGAAGATGAGAAGATTTGCCTTACCAGATTTTAAACTTATTATAAAACTATACTAATTTTTATAGCATGGAATTAGCACATGGATAGGCAAACTGAACAACGGAACACATTTATGGACCTATGATATATAACAGAGATGGCAATGCAAATTTTTTAAAAATTTTATCTACTTGACAGAGAGAGAGAGAGCGAGCATGAGCAAGTGGTGGGGAGAGGGAGAAGCAAGCTCCCTGCTGTGCAGGGAGCCTGATGAGGGGCTCAATCCCAGGACCCTGGGATCATGACCTGAGCCGAAGGCAGATGCTTAACCGACTGAGCCACCCAGGTGCCCCCACAGCAATGAAAATTAAAGGGATATAAGAACATTCCAAATTGGGGGACATTTCATATACTATATTGCTTTTTTTTCCCATGTATAATTTGGTCTTCTATAGAACTTACTCATTCTTTTTAACTAACTGCATAGTATTTGGGGGGGGAATAAGCCTAGATATATACCTCGATCTTAACACCATCTCTGCATTCCTCAAAAAATCCAAAAACAGAAATGATAAAATAGAACATGAAGAAAACATGGAGACAATTTTTTTGCTTAGATTGGGAAAGCATTTCTAACAAAACTAAGTGAAATTTCTATAAAATTTTTAAAAATTCTACATGGACAAAGATACCATTAAAAAGTTAAAATTTAGGGGCGCCTGGGTGGCTCAGTCATTAAGCATCTGCCTTCGGCTCGGGTCATGATCCCAGGGTCCTCGGTTCAAGCCCCACATCGGGCTCCCTGCTCCGCAGGAAGCCTACTTCTCCCTCTCCCACTCCCCCTGCTTGTGTTCCCTCTCTCACTGTGTCTCTCTCTATCAAATAAATAAAATCTTTAAAAAAAAAAAAGTTAAAATTTAATCTAACACCTCATTACTAAGACACCACACTGTGTGTATTTTCCCTCATGGCACTGAGTAAGAGATCCAAATTGCTCAACCAAAAAAAAAAAAAAAAGCTAAAATGTAAAACCCAAAAACCCAAAATTTAAAGAAAATATTTGTGATACATATGGCACCCAAGACTTAATTTTCTTAATGGATAATGAATGCCTACAAATTAATAAGAAAAGAAAATCTAACAACCAACCATTAAAAAAAAACAAAAACACCTAAACTCAAAAAGTTATCAGACTAAAAATCGGGACATGTATTACTTTTGGAGGGAGGGAGAGAGAAGGCAGAAGAGAGCACTGTGATTAGTATGAGCCAAATAAGTGACTTTTGAGGTGATTATCAAAGTTTTATTTCTTGATCTCCATGGTGATAAAGGCATTCACCTTATAATAATTTATTTATTGGGGTGCCTAGGTGGCTCAGTCGGTTGGGGGTCTGCCTTTGGCTCGGGTCGTGATCCTGGGGTCCTGGGATTGGGCCCCAAGTCAGGCTCCCTGCTCAGTGGGGAACC